ACAGGGAAGTATAGATGTCTTCAAAGTTTGGAAGGTCATCCAAAACCATGGTGTATTATTCCAGAAGTATATGCAAAGTGAACAATAAGAAAACCTTCAAAAAAAAAAAAAAAAAAAGAGGGGATGCAGAGTATTATAACATATTATTATTTAACATTATCATCCATACTTCTGTAAGAGGTACAATTTATCCACTAATTAAAATTTCCTTTTATAATACTATATGCTACTTTTTTTTTGGGGGGGGGGGTAAGAATAGTATACTGAAGCCGGGTGGTGGTGGCGGCACACGTCTTTAATCCCAGCACTCAGGGGGCAGAGGCAGGTGGATCTCTGTGAGTTCGAGGCCAGCCTGGTCTACAAAGCAAGTTCCAGGAGAGGCTCCAAAAGCTACATAGAGAATCCCTGTCTCAAAACAAAACAAAAGAATAGGATATTGGGAGAAATATACAAAGGGTAATAGGGAAATAAAAGAAGTGGAGTGTGACAGTGAATATCTGTAATTTCAGCAGGAGAATCACAAGTTTGAGCTCACCCTAGGCTGCATAGTTAAGATCTTGTCTCAAACAAATAAAACAACAGCATTCAGAAAATCCTTCGTAAAACAACTATATTTTACTTTCTAGCTACATTTTACAAATTCTAATAAACAGCTGGGCAGTGGTGGCACACGCCTTTAATCCCAGCACTAAGGAGGGAGAGGCAGGCAGATTTCTGAGTTTGATGACAGCCTGGTCTACACCAGAAAAACCTTCTCTCAAAAAACAAAACAACAACAAAAAAGTTCTAATAAACATTAGAAGTAAATAAATAAAACTAATACAGGTTTTTAAGGCTTAAAAGCAGAAGCTTGGCCGGAAAAAAGACTGAGTCTTGAAACTGCCTAAATTTTATAACTATTAAGCAGGCATTTCAAAGTAGGAACTGCAAGAAAAATAACCTAATGATGTATGTCAAGGCCTTAGTAAAACAAGAACAACCTGGAGGGAACAGGAAGAGAGGAGGGAGGGGAAACTGTGGTTGGTATGTAAAATAAATAAATAAAAATTTTAATAATAATAGGAAAAAAAAACACAAAAAAACAAGAACAAGCCAAACTCAAAAGCCATAACACGGGCTGATGAGATGGCTGAACAAGTAAATGCATTACTGCTAAGCCTGTGAACCACAGGCTGGTGAGGTGACTTAGCAGGTAACTGCAATTGCTGCCAAGCCTGATGATGAGTTTGGTTTTTGGGATCCATGTGGTGGAAGGAAAGAATCAAACTACAAGTGTCTCTAACCCCTCTCCCACACACCAAAGCCATCTGCAGAGACAAACAGTAAATAAAACTAATTTAACATTTTTTTTTTTCCATAAAAGGAAAGGTGCTGGGGATGTCTTTCTGTATGCTGGGAATGTGTGTTGCTCTGATTTGGTTGATAAATAAAATGCTGATTGGCCAGTAGCCAGGCAGGAAGTATAGTATAGGTGGGATAAACAGAGAGGAGAATTCTGGGAAGAGGAAGGCTGAGTCAGGAGTCACCAGCCAGACACAGAGGAAGCGAGATGTGAAGGCAGAACTGAGAAAAGGTACCAAGCCATGGCTAAACATAAATAAGAATTATGGGTTAGTTTAAATGTAAGAGCTAGTCAGTGGTAGGCCAGAGCTAATGGCCGAGCAGTTTTAATTAATATAAGCCTCTGTGTGTTTACTTGGGTCCAGCAGCTGTAGGACTGGCGGGTGAGAGAGATTTGTCCTGGCCAAGGGCCAGGTGGGACACAGGAAAACTTCAGCACAGAAAGGCAAAATAAATGCCAGGTCAGGTGTTAATGAAATGGATTAAAACAAAAATATAAGATGACTGAACAAAGAGTTAGTTCTTTGATAAGATAACCAAACTAAACAAAATAAGTAGACATGAATGAAGAAAAATTAAAAGGCTAGAGATGTAGGTCAGTTGATGAGTGCTCGCTTAACTTGCACAAAGCTCTGGATTTGGTGCCCAGCATTACATAAACTGGGCATGGTGATACACACCTATGATTCCAGCACATGGAGGGTGGAAGCAGGAGGATCTGGCCACCAAGGGAGTTCAAGGCCAGCCTGGGGTACAAGAGGCTTCCTCTCAAAAAAACAGTAAGTATACATATACATACATACATACATACATACATACATACATACGTTCGTACATACTTACACAGACTGAAAAGGAGTTATGAAAGCAGTGAAATTCAGATCATTAAGGAATATTTTGAAAACTTGCAGTAAGTTATAAAATCTAGAAGGAATGGGTATTTTTCTCAATACATGAATTACCCAAACTGAACCAAGAGGACACAATCTAAAAAGATGGCTAACACACAGTGAGGGCTGGTGAGATGGTTCAGTGGGTAGAAGCACTTGCAGCCAAACCTAAGTTTACTGCCCAGAAACTCCATGGAGGAAGGAGAGAACTGCCTCTTGCATGTTGTTTGCTCACTTCTACACCTCTTAGTGGAACATATACACACACAAATAGGAATAAGATATAGAGGCTGGAGAGGTAGCTTAGCAGTTAAGAGGCATTCTGCTCTTATATAGGACCCGATGGTTTTGAGCCACCATGTGGGTGCAGGGAGCTGAACCTGGCTTCTCTGCAAGAACAGCCAGTGCTCTTAACCCCTGAGCTAACTCTCCAGCCCTACTCTACCTCCCACCACTCTTACTGAATATAGTGCTTGAATTCTCTGTTGTGTGTTTGCGTTTTTTTGAGGCAGGGTCTCTCTATATAGCTCTGGCTGTCCTGGAACCTACTATGTAGACCAGGCTGGCCTCGAACTCACAAAGATCCATCTGCCTCTGCCTCTGCCTCTAGAATGCTGAAATTAAAGGTGTGTACAAAATACAAAACAAAATCAAAGTGTGTTGTACCACTCCTAGATAGTGCTTGAATTCTTTAAAAGGAGGTAAATAAAAGCCATAGAAGAAAGAAAGGAAGGGTCAGACCACTCCTGCTTACAAATACGATCATATACTTAAAAGACCCTAAGGACTTCACCAGAAAGTTCTTAGAGCTAGAAAAACTTTCAACAAAGTATTGGATATACAAAATCAACAAAAAAGCCAGTAGCAGGCCTAGTGAGATGGCTCAGCAGTTACGTGTTCTTGCAGAGGACTGGAGCTTGGTTCCCATGTCAGATGGCTCATAACCTTGCCTATAAATCCAGTTCTAGGGGCTCTGATGTCTTCTTCAGGATTCCCTGGGTACCCACAAACATGCATGCAAATAAAATACATCAGTAGGTTCTCCATATACCGATAACACGCTGTGAAAGAAATCAAAGAGATGGCTCAGCAGGTAAGAGCACTGACTCAAATCCAGGTTCAATTCCTAGAACCTACAAGGAGGCTCTCAACTGTCTGTAACTTCAGTTCCAGGGCATCTGTCAACCTCTTCTGGACTCCATGGGAACTGCATGAATGTGGTGCACAGACATACATGAAGGCAAAACACACACAATACATTATAAAATAATGAAATTTAAAATAAAAGAAAAACCAAAATGATAGACTTTACATAAAGTTTCACTTACCAAAATGTCTTAATTTTTATCACTTATCCAGGTCATCCTCTAAGTCCAAACAAGGTGGCATCTTTAGGGCTTGTATTTCAAAGTAGCAGCCAA